ACACACACACACACACACACACACACACACACATACACACACACACACGCGCTCGCACGCACCCACATACATACACACACAAAGGCACAAACACATACATACCCAACGACACGTAAAAGACCACACTCATGCTAAACTGTAAACCTGCAAAGACACATTATGTATATATACTCACAAACGTACACAGTACACACATAATACTTACCAGTGGCGGTGGGTGGACCCAAATTTGGTTGCGGCTTAGGATGCTTCCACCTCTTTACCACCAAATAGCAAGCAATAAGAACAACACAATGATATTTTTCTATACTCACGATGAGCCACGGCATTTTGAGAAGCATTCAAACGAGGCGAGTCTTTGTCTTTCATCTCTTTGTTTAAATTTTTCTGGATGGTGGGGACAAAGCCGTTTCACCTCCAAATTTCTCTAATTAATTTTCATCTAATGGAAAAATGGTTTGCTGTAATCAATAACTGTTAAATCTCAGCGGTGCACACACAAACATGCACACAAAGCACTCCAAACATATTCCGTTTATGAGCTGGATTAGGCTGTTTAGTCGCGGAAAGTACAGCGCACAACAAAGGTCCAATGAACGCATTGTTATCTGTGTCACTGGGGGAAAGTGTGTCGTAAACTTTCACCCCATTGTCAGTGTGTCGTAAACTTTCACCCCATTGTCAGGGCTAGGAGAGCGTGAGCACTCTGTGCAGTGTTATATTTTAAAAAAATTCTTTTACTTTTTTATAAGAGGGGTTTCATTACGGAGGGAGCGTGCGAACGGGCTCCTCCGTTGCTGAGCCCTAAAGACATTTGAGTGACTGTTAGGTTACTATAGTTGTAAGCGGTGACAACGGTGATTGGATAAACGTGCAAGCCGCCAAGTTGATTACTCTGTGTTCATTGCGTGCGATCATAATCGTTTCAACTACTTATTTCGTTATTTTCATTTACTTTGGGATAGAGTTGGGGGGTGGGGATGGGGGCTCAAGACCGTGAGCCCTTCACTACCCACCGCCACTGATACTCACACACACAAACAAACACACACATACCCAATGACACGCTTAAGACCCGAAACATGTAAAACTATGCAGTGAGACCGGGTTGATCTCATTTCTCAAGTGTAACTTGCTTACTTGTAAGGTTACGGTTAGGATAATGTTTCGAAATCAGAGATAGAATATTTAGCTCATCTGTTACTAGCTCAACACACAGAAAACTACATCTTAGACCGACCCAACCCATCTGGACGTTATAGATCTAGTCCTCTTTTATTTCCAAGTTCTTCTTTCTTTCTTTCACACTCGATACTCTCACACACCTGGACCCCCATCTGTCTTTCAGGCTCCCAAACGTCAAAAAGAAGGGCAACCGGCAGGACCAAATCAAACCCGATAGCTCTTCCTTTATGGGGTGGGTGGTTGGAAGACGCCGCTATTAGGGTCTACTTCTTTTCTTTCTCTTTTCTGTTTCTGCCGGTCTGTCTCTCTTTTTTACGTGCACTAATTATTCGCTTTTCCATTTGTTATTTTTCAGTTGTTTTTGACGGGCTCTTAGGTGTGGTCTCTGTTTATCATGCATTTTAAGCATTATTGTAGCTCCAGTTGTTCCTTTGTGAAACGTGGCGTGAAGGCATGGACTTCATAGTAAACTACAACTTCACATTGACACCATTTATTTCATTTATTCATTTACTTGTCTTTCAGTTCTTCATTAAATTTTTCATTTCAGTTTTATTCATTCAGTCGTTTAATCAGTCTGTTGCTTGTTTTATTATTTACTGCTTCAATTATTAGCATGTATGTACAGTCGGACCTGTCCAAGACGACAACTATTTGTCGAGGAGAAAAGTAGTCATCTTAGACAAGTGGTCATCTTGTACAGTGTTATGATTATGATGATAATGATGATGATGGTGATGATGATGATAATAACAATAATAATAATAATAA